TGCTTAAAATTGTTTAAGCGCTCTAACAGGAACGGACATTTAAATGCAGAGTAGCGACGGGCATTTTAATAAACTCTGGCCAGCTCAAGCTTACTACCATTTCAGAAGTCCGGCATTTAAAGGTTAAAGATAAACGTTCTGCTTTTCTCATCATATAATCCATTTGTGTAAAAGTATATCCAAGCTTTGTAATTCAGCAGCTGATTGGCTGGCTGCATCTGTGTAAGTATGAAAAGTGCCAAAGAAATTTTTAAAACATCACAATAAGAAGCTGACAGTAATGACAACATTTTAGTAGTATGTTTTCAGGGTTTTAAAATCAGACCATACAAAATTCAAGTCTCTAACAATATGGTAATACTTTTACATTCTGTAAACATGCTGTTAAGGAGTTTTATATATATATATATATATACATACATACATACATACATACATACAAGGTGCAACAATATAATTCCTGGAATGGCACTGTGAAAGCAAAATTTCCTTACCTGTGCACTAGTGGCTGCTTTGCCTTCAAAGTACTCTCCTTGTGAAGCTATGCACTTCATGAGACAATGGTGCCACTGCCGGAAACAGTCTTGAATATCCTTTTTCTGAAATACCTCACAGTAATGTCACATTGCACTGGATGTCAGGAATGTCAGCAAATCTTTGTCCCTTCAGGGCATTTTTTAATTTTGGAAAGAGCCAAAAATTTCATGGGTCTAGGTGAGGTGAATAAGATGGATGATCCATATTTGTAATGGATTCCTTATCCAGGAACTTGCAGACTCTTTAACACGTCATGTGCAGGAGTATTATCATGATGGAGAATCCACTTGTCAGGCCAAAGTTTGGATCTTTTCCTCCGAGCAGATTCCCGTAACCTTGTCAGCACTTCCAAATGACACTCTTGATTCACCATTTGTCCTTGTGCATTGAATTCACAGTGAACTATCCCCTAGTGATTGAAGAACACTTCTTGGCTCTTCTTGCACATCTTGCCCTTCCTTCAACTGCCTATGCCATTCAAAAACCCTCAGTTTCTTCATAGTGTATTCTTAAGCCACTGTTAATAGGGCTGACTTTTCACTAGCACTTTTACCAATCTTCACACAAAACATTATGTTTATTCGCTGCTCCAGATTCTTGTCACTCATTTTTCCCCAACCATTGTGCCACGGACATGTACTACTTCCTCTGCTGCTTGAGAACAAACGACTCATTTGGTCTGCGGCTCATGTAAACGCAAGTCTGAACTTGTCCAAACATGCTTGGGTACATGAGTTTGCTTGACTCAACACCCCAGCGACATACTACGGCCATTTTGGGAATTAAATTGTGGGACCTTGGACAGTGGAATCTGACATATCTAAATTACATTTAGAAGAAACTTTGTGTCATTTTTTAAATTATAAATGTAAGGTGCTAATGAATGAAGTACTCTACAGCCTGGAATGTGAAGTACTCATCCATTTGCTGAGAGCACAACTTGAAATGCAGCTGTGGAATTTCCTTCCATCTCTTATGTTACTTCATCTCGCTTTCACCCGACTTACTGCCTGGGAATCCAGACTTCAGAACAGAGAGGTATGTTTGCCAGTTAGCCATTCCAGTTCAGTCAATTTACATACTTATCATCATTATATATAGTATATGGAGAAATATCTGGAACAGTGACAGTTCATTAAATTGAATAACCAGTGACTGCAACAAACATCTGGATTCTTAATGTAAAGACAAATTTGTTCATGTGTTTATTAAAGAAATGTAAAGTTGAGGAGAATATTTGGACTGAAGAGAGATGAAGAGACAGGTTGGAGAGAACTGCATATTGAGGAGCTTCATAACTTGTACTCTTCTCCAAGTATAATTAGAATGATCAAGTCAAGGAGAGGATGAGGTGGGAAGGGCATGTAGCATGAATGGGGGAGAAGAGGAATGCATATAGGATATTGATGGGAAAGCCAGAAGGAAAGAGACCACTGGGAAGACCAAGGTGTAAGTGGGGGGACAATATTAAAATGGATCTTGGAGAGATGGTATGGATTGGATTGATCTGGCTCAGGATAGGGACCGGTGGAGGGTTCTTGTAAACATGGTAATGAACCTTCAAGTTTCACAATATTCTGGGAAATTCTTGAGTAGCTGCACAATTGGCGGCTCTTCAAGAATGGTTCAGCACCATAAGTAAGTAAGTAAAACTATCCCTGTAAAAGGCCGTGGAGACCCATGGGGTTGAGAGACATCAAGGCTCCCAAATTTTCTAGACAACTGGCTCACAGATGGTGGTGAGATTATCTGGCTTACAGACTGGCTGGCCACCCTTTATGCCCAGCAAGATTCCTAGTACTCATTTCTATTAGAGGCTGAGGTGATGCCAGGGCCATAGTATGACTGGAAAGATTAGGTCAATTGAAACATCCAGTGTCCTCACAAAGAATCGAACCTTCGATCTTCCAGCTTGTAGCATAGTGCCTCAAGCAACTACACTACTAATTGTTCTACTGAGAAATTCATTTATCAGTAATCTGTCAGACGACAGGTCCACAGTCTCTTACTAATTTAATACATCATATACAGTGATTCCTCAGTTAATGGTTTTAATTTGTTCCACAAAAACCACAGTTTTTATTATTAATTGAATACTTTGCATGTTTCATCAAAATTAACTTATATGACTGGAATCTATTTGATTCTACATGTTTTGTTTCTGATTTGTTTCTGTTTTTGTATTTGTATTTTATACTTTTTTTGTATTTATGTACTTAGTTCTTGCTCTATTAATTTTAAGAATAATCACTGTATGGACATGTCCTATATCTCACTTGTATTGTGGATCCATGGAACGAAAAATAAATGAATGAATGAATGAATGAACTTGAAGTACTTGTTGAAGTAGTTGACACTATTCACCCTAAAAACATAGTTTGTTGTATTTAAAGATGCAATTTTAATAAATAAACATTATAAGAACTTTGAGGTATTAATATTAAGAGGAACATGGATAAATAAGAAATAAATAGAGCATAAAATAAAAATTGAGGGATCATTAGAGGTGCTGACTTGAAAGTTTGATGGTTCCAAAGTTGGTCTCTTTCTGAAGAAACTATCAAGAGTTGACTACTGTGCTGACCTCCTCTTCTTCATTAACAACCTGCTGAAGTAGAAAATCCCTTTGTCCTCAAAATTGCAGAGGAACAGTTCTGTTTGTTCTATGGCTGTATATCTGAGGATCGGTCTCTTCATTGTCCCAAGCAGTAAAAAATTCTTCGATTTCAGAATGGACATGATGTCATCTTGGTTTTATTCCTCCTTCTCACTATCATGTTCAATGAAGTTGTTCAATTCTTGAAGATCCTCAGTAGTGAGCCCCCAATTGTGAGCCTGAATAAGGTCTTCTACATCAGTGTGATTCACTTCAAGCTCCACCATTTCTCCAGGTTGAGCAATTTCCTTATCCTTACCCCTCAAATTCTTGCTGAATTGCTAACCAAACAGGTTTTCATGCAGCATTCATACCATAAACATATCGTTAATACACAAAAAGGGACCCTACAGAAGGCAGATCATTAATGGATGACACTGAAAACCAAGCAATCACTCTACTGTGAAACTGATATATTGTCTCATCCCAGACATGCAATACTGAATAATAACGAAAAGAGACAATTTCAAGTACACTTTGTATCTTCATTATACAGTGAAGCAAAGAATAAAAATTTGTCCATTAGTCTTCTGAAAATGAAAGTGAGTAATCAGCCTTTAACTGATAGGTATGACAGTATTTATTTACATTATTTATGCATCCTTTTCACAGTTTTTCCCATAACTTTATAAGTGTTAAATACATTTTTCTGAGGGGTAGGGTATTACTGGAAAGAGTGGGGTTAGGCCTGAGTATTTTGTGCCACATTATTCACTCTCCTGGGGACATTATATGAACATGTGGATGGCATCAGTAAATAAGATGATGACCAGTTATTACATATATTAAGGTACACAACAACAACTTTATACAGATGTGGATAGCCCTCTAGCAAGTGGAAACCAAGATGGGAATTGAAGAAAGGAGTGGAAGATTTTTTTAAACAGAAAATTTGAAATTTATATTATCAACATAAATATGTGTTCAATACACAGTGTGTCCACGTTCTATTAGAACTGTGTTAATTAAAAATACAAGACATGAATTATTTTCAAAATTTCACTCTTTTTTATTCAAAATAGTCTCCTTCTGAATCAATACATAGCTGGAATCGATTGAAAAGTTTTTGAAAACAGTCACTGTACTCCTTTTGTGGAATTGCATTTAAAACTATGGTACATTCCCTTTGGATGTCCTGGATGGTGTTGTGATGGTTTCCTTTCATCGCCAACTTAACTTTTTGGAACAACCAGAAATCTGCTGGAGCCAAATTTGGCAAATATGGAGGATGATCAAGGACTGTGATCCCTTTTCTGGCCAAAAAATCGCACATGATCTTTGATTTGTGGGGTGGGGCATTGTCGTGAAGGAACGACCAGGATATTCAGGTCGAATTTGAAGAATTCTCACCCACAAACGATTGAGGACTTAATAATCAGAATTCACTGTTTGACCTTCTGGCAGAAATTCCTTGTGAATTATTACTTTGGAATTGAAGAAAACGGTTAGCAGTGTCTTTACTCGACTCTTTTGCATGTGCACTTTCTTTGGTTTCGGCTGGCTTCTTTGGGCTCCGCCACACTGCACTCTGCCACTTTGTGAGAGGCTCATATTGAAAACACCATGTCTCGTCACCTGTAACAATCGATTTTGTAAATTTTGTATCCCTTTGGGCTGACCATAACATGTCTTTGCAGTGTTCCACTCTGGCATGTTTGTCATTGCCTGACAGTGCGTGTGGTACAAACTGTGCACAGACCTTCCGTTTGCCCAAATCCTCAGTCAAAATTTGATGCAGAGTACCTTTTGGTATTCCCAAAAGCTCCTCAATGAGTCTTGCAGAAACACATCTGTCTGATGCAAGGATTTCGGTCACTTTTTTCACATTTTCTCCAGTGCAACTTGTTCTCGGCTTTGATGCATGTGGAGCGTCTTCACTGTCCTCCCTGCCATCACAAAATACAGCATACCATCGAGAAGTGTTCGAGCGACTCAAACAATCACTACTGTACACACTTTTCATCATTTTGTACACTACTCCGGCTATTTTGCCTAACTTGAAACAAAATTTGATGTTGCTTCTCTCTTCAACTGCCATTTTCCGACGAGAGTCAGAACAGTACTGTTACATTCAAGGTCAGAACACATGATGCAGCGATGCTTGCGCTTTGAAATTATAAGACAGCCACAGCTGAGACTTCAAGAATCTTAACGCCACAACTTGCCAACAGATGGCATTACACGGCAAAATTTAAAAAAAATGAGTCTTAATGGATCCTGGACACACTGTGTATGTCAATGTGTTATGTGTTATTGTTAGAAGAGTGAAACTAGGAGATTACAATGCTCTAGACACAAAGCTTGAATGGAGACACTAGAAGTACATTCAGAATTCTGGTGGAGAAACTTTTGGAAGTTCAAAAAGGAGATAGTAATACATTATTAATATGGATCATCATCATCATCAGTAATCTGTCAAGACGACAGGTCCACAGTCTCTTCCAAAACAATTCCTCCACTTAGTGCGATCTAGAGCTTTCTCCTTCAAATGATAGTACCCTCTTCTGTCCCCAAGGTCATCCAGCATCTTCTTACATCTTCTTCCTCGTCTTCTTGTCACTTCTATCCGCCCCTCTATCTTTCCTTCAATAACTTCTTTTAGAAGGCAGTTTCTGCGTAAAACATGACCAATCCAATTAGCCTTCCGTTTTCTTATTTCGTGCAGGATATTCCTCTGCTCACTGACTCTAAATAACACTTCTTCATTTCTGACATAATCGGTCCAACTGATCTTCTCCATCCTTCTCCAACACCACATTTCGAA